CATACGCTTGCTTAGCTTATTGTTATTGCCATCTAACAGATGGGGTAAAGAGTTGAGTAGGAGGTAATGATCTTTTTGTTTGAAAGTTATCTTCTTAAGTCTGCTCCGTAGTTCGTTGACTCTCTTGGCATTTTGATGACCTAATATTTTGGCCGCCTGGACAAGCCTTTCGCAGTGCACAAATTCTTATAGTGCTACCAGGGGAAAATGGTATTGAATTATTAACATGTAGATTATGGGTGAAATTTGTTAGCAACACTTAAATTGCATTTCATATTCCTGCGTAAAAAAACTACGGATTTAAGTGGCAACAAAGTCTTCTATAATTGACCAATATTATGTGGGTCTAAAGGCTAAATAGCACTAAAAATCCCTAATTGTTTCACCACCTTTACACTTTAAGTTTGATTATCGTAACTTGTCAGTTGCTAGAACGTTGAAAAGGTGTTAAAAAAAGCCCATTAGGACAGAAATACTCCCGTGTGTAACTTAACTCCTTCAACAGTTAAGCAAGGCTAAATATCAGAAGGCCCCCCTTAACTTCAGGAGATTATCAGCTAATCCCCCAAAATTTGAAAATAAAACTCCAGTAACTTCTTTTAAGGGGTTCCCTTATAAACTTTGAAAGTTAAAGGGAGTAGTTTGATAAAATCTTAAAGTTCAAGGATGGTTTTCTGATAATCCCTACACTTGTGGTTTTTTTTTTTTTTTTGAAATTCACGCGGGGTCATCTGATAATCTTCCAAAGTTATTTTGATATTTAGTTGCTAAACAATCCTCCAATTTCACCATTTACCATTTCTCCCCAAATCAGCCGTGCTCTAGTTTCCTTCTCTAGAGAAGCACCGTGAGTCCGTGACTTGAAGAACCAGTGGATGATCTAAGGAGAGCTTTCATGGATATCTGCAAAGAAATTGTGGAATAATTAGAAGGGAAATTAGGGAAGAAGGGAAATTGGGAAAGGAGGAAATTGGGAGTTAGGTAGAAAAAAATTAATGATATAGTTTAACGAAAGGAGGGCAGGTATGTAGTAATTGTAACAAGTAGGTTCAAAACAGTTCTAACTATGGCATGTGACAATCGCATGGGAATATTTCCTGGAATATCCTCACTTCAAACTAACAGAAGACAATAACGCACCAGATTTAGACAACTTATGGTATTTAAATGTTATGTTTTACACCTCAGGGTATTTAAGTGTAAATGTGGTGAATCAATAAGGTATTTAAGTGCCACTTAGCCCGGTCTAATGGATGATATTGTTAATTATGACATATGATTTCTTTGCGAACATATACATGGCGTTCTTAATCAACTAGAACACGGTTTCATTAGTAATAATTTGCTATCTTCTCAGGAAGGCATAACTGTAGTGTTTACTTCTTTTGTGGTAAGAGATAATGGTTTCGTAGTGGTTCCAAATATTGTAATTTTGTTATTCATGATACAGGGTTCCAGTTGCGTTCTTGTTTTATTTGGACTCTCTGTAAAAAGAGTCCGTAAGGAAAGAAAGAACTCTTAGATCGATTTCTGGCTAAGCAATATTGTCTTTCAGGATTGCCCAGGTATTGAACAGCTGTAGTGAGAGTACGGCAGATATTATTAGCACCACAGAGAAGTTAAAACAGGATCTCGATATTACTACACAACGATAAGAAATCGTGTCATGCTTTTTACGTGATTATCAACTTCTAATGAAGAGGTGTGTAAGCTTTTACTCGGGTTTATAATGTTATTGAGAAGTCAACACCCTTGCTGTATATTGACTCGAGTCTTACTTGGCTTTTTGAGTCAGCAATAAATGTGCACCTATGCATGGCTGTCTTCTGAGCAAAATGTCTACTTGAGTGCAGATAAATGCATTAAGGGAAGAAGATCTGAATGATAATTTCTTCAAAGCACTTTCTCATGTTCAAGAAATTCATGCCAACTGTAAGATATTGCTGAGAACTCATGAATTTCTTCAAAGCACTTTCTCATGTTCAAGAAATTCATGCCAACTGTAAGATATTGCTGAGAACTCATCACCAGGTATTAAGCCTTTTAATTCAAAAGAGTGTACAAATTAGGTACTATTCCGGAAATTGGGCTCTTTGACTGTTTAACCTGGGTATGATATTACTGGAAATTTGAATATATTGTTCATTTATTGAAACTTACTAGAAGACTCCTTGAAATACACCCTTTGGTAGCTCACCTAAATAATGTTTTGTTGTGGTCCTTGTGTACTTCCTTATTGCAAATGTCCATTATATAAAGCTGCACATCTTATCCATGCATTTAACACACACGAGTACTTGTGTGTGTGTAGATGTGCGCACATACATGAGCAATTGTGTGTTTGACACATACCTGTCTTACCACATGCACAGATGCAGAACATTGATTTTGTTCATGTGCTAACATTTACATTCTTGGGAATTATTTCATAGGTTAAAACAAGGAGGATAGTCAAAGGACAAAGCAGAGTAAAAATATCACAAAAAAAAAAAAACAAAAACAAAACAAAAACAAAAAACAAGAGTAATGCCTGATTAATGCTCCACTTATTTCTCCAGGCCCTCTCCTATCTTCTTCCTGTTGCTTTCATCCTCTCCCACCTCTTCAGACCCCTGGCTACACACGTAATTCTAGTTATGTACTATCAAACTTTCTTGCCAAAAATAACTTCAATCTGCATGCTTTTAAGTATCTGACCTGACCATGAATCTCATGATCTGAGCAAAGTACTATTTCCCATCAACCTGCACATCCAATACCACCGCAACAATGGAAAAAAAAAGCAGCAGTGCACAAATTAATTAAATCTCTACCTGCACTACAAAAACCGGAAACAAATGTTTAATATGCAGTCCACAATCTCTTAGCAGGAATAGAATACGCATAATGCGCCCATCAGGAAAATCCAGTCTATACAACTCTACGCTGTTGTAGGGGTATTTCCTTCCTCTGTATATTAAGAAAGGACAAACATGTAAAGCGGAATGTCTCTCGCGCGCACGCGCATATGTGTGTATATGTGATAGGGTGTGGGGCCCACCCACGTGGGGCTGTCTGCCCACGCCAACGAGAACGCCGCCTTCCCTTTGCTTGCGCGCGCACGCAAGTTTCGCTCCCCCCGTCGTGGTCGCACGCACGAAGGACGAGGCCAGCCCACTTCGAGCTCCGTGCTCGTGTCCTTGCGCGCCGCTTCCCGCGCTCGATTGCGAGCTCCCGCGCGCGCTCGTTCTGCCCGCCCAAACATTTCAGCCGTGCCCCCTTTTGGTTTCCTATAAATAGAGAAGGGGGTGGAGGAGTTATTGTGTGGGAAAATTGTGGGAAAATTTCAAGTGGAGTTCTTGAGAGAAAAGAAAGAGAGAAAGAGAGAACTTGTATAAGTTTGGTATTTTTCCTCTATAATGAAACCCCCTCCCGTGGACGTAGGCTAGTTTGCCGAACCACGTAAAAATCTCGTGTTTGTATTTATCTTATCTGTCAGTTGTCATAGCTTGTAGGTTCACTCGAGATTTCAGTCCTTGAACTGATGAGAGGAAGAGTGTATATTTCACTTTGATGAAATATATCACTTTTGATTCTTGTTTCCTTTGAGAAATAAGAATTTCATTATCTATTCTCGTTTCATTTGAGAAACAAGAATATAGAGGTTGACTTGTGCTTTTGTGACAACAATAGCCAGGGCTCTCTCTCAGGTGATATCGCTTCCGCGGCGACGGGCGGGACTCCGTCCTAACAATTGGTATCAGAGCCCTTATTCAGACTAGATGTGGTAAAATTTCTGATCTGAGGCGGTGGTTGAATATTGTGTGGTAAAACACAAAGAAATTGTTAAAAAAAAAATTCCTGAGAGAAGCGGACTATCATAATACAAGTGAAAAATGGCTTCTACAGGTAAAACAAATAAAATTGGAAAGTACGAGATTGAAAAATTTAATGGGAAAAATGATTTTTCCTATTGGAGGATGCAGATGAAAAATTCGCTGATTTCGCAAAAGTTGCACAAGGCTTTGGCTGGAAGAGAGAAGCATAAAAATATATCTGATGAGGATTGGGAGGAGCTGGATCTGGAAGCACGAGCGTCGATTATCCTATGCCTTGAGAGGGATGTAGCTTTCTTGGTAGACGGGGAGGAAACGGCTGCGGGTGTGTGGTTGAAGTTAGAAAGCACCTTCATGACGAAGAGTCTAACGAACCGGATCTATTTAAAATCCAAATTGTATACTTGCAAGATGGAGGAGGGCTCGTCAATCCGGGAATACATTAACAAGTTTGATAGGATCTTATCAGACTTGAAAGACATTGAGGTGACAGTGGAAGACGAGGATCAGGCGTTTCTACTACTTCTATCTCTGCCGAAGTCTTATGAGAACCTGGTACAAACATTGATGCTTGTGGGTGATACTTTATCGATGGATGAAACTAGAACGACGCTTCTAGCGGATGATCTTTGAAAAATTACAACTAGTGATATGGCCACTGGTGGTAACAAAGAACAAGCGCAGGGACTGTTTGCCAGAGGAAGAGGCAATGAGCGAGGAAAAGGCAAGGGAGGAAAGTCTAGATCTAAATCGAGACCTCTTGCGGGACGAGCGTGTTTCAAATGCGGTGAAGTTGGGCATTTCAAGGTCGATTGTCCTAACAAGAGAGTAGGTGGGAAAAAGAACAACAAGACTGAAAGACGAGAAGGCAAGGAAGAGGCGAGCTACGCTTCAGAGGATGGGAGCGATAAGAAATGTTATGTCGTCACGGATGACGAGGATACCTCCGGGAAGTGGATTCTTGATTCTGGTTGCTCTTACCACATGTGTCCAAACAGGAAGTGATTTACTACCTACAGGAGCATTGATGGTGGAACCGTATTGATGGGGAACAACCATGCTTGTAAAACGGTGGGGCTAGGTGATATCAAAATCAAGATGCATGATGGAGTGGTTCGAACCCTGACGGACGTACGACACGTTCCCGGCTTGCGGAAAAATCTCATCTCAGTCGGAGCTTTGGACTCCGGGGGTTGCAAGATTGTTACAGAGAACGGAGTGAAGAGGGTTGTTCGGGGTTCCTTAACAGTGATGAAGGGTGTTCGTCACGGTAATCTATATACTCTTTCGGGTACGACGGTGACGGGAGATGCAGCAGTTGGAGCTGAAGGAAGTGGTGGAAACCCATGTGAGCACACACGGTTATGGCATAGGCGGCTTGGGCACATGTCAGAGAAGGGTCTGGATCTGCTTGGTAAAGAGGGTTTGCTGAAGAATCTGAAGAAACCTTGCATGGATTTTTATGAGGACTGTGTATGGAAAGGCGCACAGGGTTCAATTTCTGAGGAGCAAGCACAAGAGCAGAGGGATACTAGATTATGTGCACACGGATGTTTGGGGTCCGGCTTCGACAACTTTCAAGGGTGGTTCCAGATATTTTGTCTCATTCATAGATGATCATTCAAGATATGCTTGGGTTTATTTCCTGAAGCATAAGAATGAGGTATTTGAGACATTCAAGAAGTGGAAGGCAATGGTTAAGAACAGGACAGGGAAGAAATTAAAGACACTGAGATCTGATAACGGTACAGAATATACAGACGGTGCTTTCAAAGAGTTCTGTGATCAGGAGGGCATTGCTAGACACTGGACAGTTAGATCTACACCACAGCAGAATGGGGTCGCGGAAAGACTGAATCGAACACTGCGGGAGAAAGCAGTGAGTATGGGATCATATGCTGATTTGGGCAAAGAATGGTGGGCAGAATCGATTGCTACAGCTTGCTATATTGTGAATCGATCTCCACATTCGACATTGGACGGTGACACACCCTATCGGGTGTGGTCAGGGGAGCATGCAGATTATGAGAGGCTCCGAATTTTCGGTTGTACCGCCTACTATCACGTCAACGACGGAAAGCTTGATGCGAGGGCCAAGAAGGCAATTTTCTTGGGATATGCAAAGGGCGTAAAAGGCTACCGCCTTTCGTGTACAGAAGATTTGAAGTTCATGATCAGCAGGGACGTTACCTTTGATGAGAAGTCCATGATTGCTAGGGTGCCCAAAGATGGTGGTGTTGATACTATTAGGACTCCCGAGTCCCAGGTTATTGAGATAGAACCGAAAGACCAACCAGGTTCTAGTCGTGTTCAAGAGGGAAATCAGGTAGATGATGAGATTGAGCAGGAGGAGGTTCAACTACAACAACAGCAGCTCGATGATAGCTTGGCTTCCACTAGGTCAAGGCGAGCATACAAGCAGGTACAGAAGCTGGGGGCTGATAAACCCCTGAAGCACTATGGGCATGTTAATTTGGTTGAATACGCACTCTCGATGGAGGAAGATGAGCCGGTCTCCTTCAAGGAAGCTATTCGAGACAAGAATAGTGAGAGTTGGTTGGCTGCGATGGAGGAGGAGATGGAATCTCTCCGGAAGAACCAAACATGGGAGGTGGTCCCATTGCCCGTAGGAAAGAAAGCTATAGGTTGTAAGTGGCTGTATAAAAGAAAGGAAGATCCTTCAGAGCTCCGTGGAACGAGGTACAAGGCGAGGCTAGTGGCTAAGGGGTTTGCACAAAAAGAGGGTGTGGATTACAATGAGATATTTTCTCCGGTGGTGAAACACACTTCTATTCAGGTGCTATTGAGTATTATTGCTCATGGTGATCTTGAGCTGGAACAACTCGATGTCAAAACGGCCTTCTTGCACGGAGACTTGGATGAAGAGATCTACATGCATCAACCTGATGGCTACAAGATTGAGGATAAGGAGCATCATGTATGTCGCATGAGGAAGTCACTCTATGGATTGAAGCAATCTCCTCGGCAGTGGTACAAACGTTTTGACTCCTTCATGCTGAAGCATGGGTTTTCCCGAAACGACTATGATTGTTGTGTTTACATTCGGAAGCTTCGTGGAGGTGATTATATCTATCTCCTGTTGTATGTGGATGACATGCTTA